GTATCCACTACCCAGGAGAAGACAATGTATCAAAAAACAAGTACCCAAGAGAAGACAATGTATCCACTACGCAGGAGAAGACAACGTATCAACTATCAGGTGATGACAATGTATCCACTATGGAGGAGAAGACAATGTATCAGCTACCCAGAAGATGACAATGTATCAAAGCTTCAGACACATTATGGTAGAACTTGCTAACCTTTGGCTAAATGGATGGGTGTTAGATGCCCTTGTTTACAATATGTCCATTTATATAATCTTAAAAATTCAAGAACATGCATTACCATCCAACCCAATGTCAGATGAGGAAACTGGGGCGCCAACAAGTTCCGTAGCTCTCCTCCAAATCCTAAGCATAAGCAACAATATCGGGATTAACCCAAACTATCAGGCTCTAAGATTTCAAGACCCGTGTCACTGACTGGAACTCATACAGGTTTGAAAGAAAGAAACCATTTGCTGCAGCTCTATTTCCTCTCTATTGTCTGCTTTGCGGTTCTCTTTTCTAATGCTATTTCACTTCAGTTTCAAGACTGGAGGATGGCGGGGACACTGACTCCGGGAGTTTCCTGGGAGGAGCCTTCTGGCCTCCAGTTTCCTGAATCCCTTAAATGTCCACTTAAGGCTTCCTCCAGGATCCTCTGAAGCATCTGGAGCAATACTCACAGGAGAGCCCTGCAGGCATCCAGGAGGAGGTGGTGAGCTGGGAGGCAGGGCAGGATTACCCTGGCTGGCTCTCTCTCTGAGGTGGTGAGCAGTTCCAGGAAGCCTTCATCTCTCTAAGGACGTGTGAGTTTCGCAGGAGCCTCTCCTGGGTGACAGGCAAGAGGGAGGAAGTGAGGGAGAGATCCTGAGGGTGGACAGAGGGCAGGCAGAGTCCTTGTCATACAAGAAGGGGTGGAAGAAAATTCAAGGAGGCTGAGCCATGCCTGAAGCTGCTGTTTCTCTCTCCTTTTGCCTCTTGCCTTCCTTCTCTCCCTCCCAGTCAAGGGGATAACAAGTCCTCAGACTAACTGCCTTGGGGCACAGCTGTTCAGGTCAGGGTACCTCTGGAAAAGGGAAGCAAGGGTCTTTGTGTGAGTGACAAAGTCCCTGGTGCTCCTTTGGGAAAGACACCACAGTGGTCTGCAGGAGACCATTTCATAGCCACCATGAATCCATTAGCCGTGACCTCTTACCTTGACGATCTCCTTGTCATCACTCCAGATGTTTGCAGGACCTCCCTCTGGACCTCACTATTCCCACCCTAGGAAGATGGCAGATTCCTGCTGAGAGACCCGTTCTCTACCCCACCTCTGCTTCCGCTGGGCTCAGGTGACAACCTAACACACTTGTGGCCTTGGATCCTGTTTTCTGCACAGGATTAGACACGACTTGGTTAGCTCTAAATCCTCATCTGATATAATTATTTATTTGCACATCAGGGTAAATAATGCTTCATGAGGAATGTGTTTTCATGATTTCCCAGCTCTCTCCTCTCTTCCAAGAGTACACCACCAACGCACACAAGGAATCATTTGCTTTGTGTGAGACTAGCCTGTCTGCCGTAAAAACCCACTGACCTATCAGCCTGTAAATATGATGTGAAAATCTGTGATGACGATGGTCCCTGGGCTCTGTGGGGACAATGATGATTGACAGTGATGGGACAATTTACCCTGAAGGTGCCAGTCAGGTCACCCTGACACACCTTCCACTATGGTTTGTCTGGTAGAGAACTTGGTGGTGATTGGCATCTTGAATCACATTGTGGGCATGTTGGGTGCGGACTGCAAGCTCTCCTCCTATGTGTGCCCTGTGATGGGTGTGAAGGACAGGGAGCCAGGATCCCATTTCTCAGAGGCCGTGTGGGTGTGTCAGCATGAGATGGAGCAGGCAGGAGCACAGCCAGCCGACTTCAAAGGGAGAAGAGAGTTAGTGAAGGTTAGCAAATCTGAGAGGAGAGGGGCCATGCGAGTGTTTGGGAAAGCCACAGAGCTAATGGCGATCGTAAGCAGCTGAGTGTGAAAATCGTTTTAGAGGAGAGATGATCGTCTGTTGGGTTTTGGAGGGATGGCTGTGCACCTGGGCTCTAGTTTGCTTTCTGTTGCCGAGATGAAATATGGACAAAAATAATCTTGGAGAGAAAGAATTTGTTTTATCACGCAGGTCATGGGAAGTCAGAATAGAAACTCCTGGAGGCAGAACTGGAGCAGGAGCCACAAAGGAATGGGAGGGATGGCCACTTCCTGGCTTGCTCAGCCAGCTGCCCAGGGATGGCACAGCCCACAGTGGGCTGGGCCCTCCTGCATTAATCATTAATCAAGAATATGTCCCACAGTCTGACTACAGGACAATCTAATGGAGACATTTTCTCTGTTGAGATTCCCTCTTTCCAGATGACCTTAGCTCTGTCAAGCTGACAAAAGAGATGGGGGGGGGGCAGTGTTTGGAGATGGTCATTGTCTTGGATCCTGGATTTGATCTAAATAGTCTTGGTATATTGATGCATTTGTTATGTTGTACTGTGAAATTGAGCCAGTTTTGATTTGTTCTGTTTTTCTAGACAGGGTTTCTCTGTGTAGCCCTGGCTGCCCTGGAACTCACTCTGTAGAACAAGGTGACCTCAAACTCACAGAGTTCTCCCTTCCTCTGTCTGTCGAGTGCTGAGATTGAAGGTGTGTGCCTCCACTGCCCAGACCGAACCAGTTTTTAGAAGTCTGTTTTAAAATTAGGCACTTTATTTCAACTCCTTCTCCCAAATCAAAGCTGTCCCCCTGATGTTATTCCTCTCATTTGAGGTCGGCCTCATCTTCAAGCAATGCATCTCAGGTGATGCTGTCTGACATGGTTCATTCTGTCCATCTCTTTCCCCCATTAATCTTTACTAAAGAATTGTGTTTGTTTTTATGAGAAAGAATCTCCCTATGCAGTCCAGGCTGTCCTGGAACTTGCCATGTAGACCAAGCTGGCCTCAAACTCACAGATATCTGCCTGATTAAAGGTTTGCACCACCACGCCTTTACTGAAAAAAAAAATATTTTTACCTTAGTCCTTTACCGAAACATTTTTAAATGAAGGGGATGGGAAAGCCATTTTGATGTACAAGAATACTGATAATGAGAGACCAAAAGATAAAGTAGCAGCTATTGTTAAGACCTAAAGTAGGTGCAGTAGAGAAGTTTAGGAATGCCCTGAGGGGAAGACCCACCTCGCTGCGTTCTTTCCCCACCCACTAGAGATACAGTTGCTAGGAAACTCCCTAGGGGGAGGGACACCTGGTCATGGTCAATGGTCTGGGAACCTTCCTATAGCCAATCGATTCAAAATGTAGCATCTTGACCAATAGATGCTTGCCAGGCAGGAATTGCCCCTGCCTTGGGCATGCTGGGAGGGACCAGAATCTATAAATCACCCAACTAACCTGGGTGCAGCGTGCTCAGCTCCCACTGCTTCGGCGGTGGGTGTTGTGGGCCCAAGCTGCAGCTTGTAATTTACAATAAAAAGACCCTCATGTGTTTTGCAACGGAGTCGATTCCTGTAGATCGAGAACTGGGTATAACAATAACATAGACTAGCAAAACACTTTAAATGTAAGAAAGAACAGAAGACTATTTTAAAGGAGAAATTCAGAATAGTCCAATGTATTTGCAGTGTCTTCAGTTTCTAAATATGCCTGGAGAATATAAATCAAGCAGAGAGGAGGACGCCATTTACATGGTAAAGCCATTGTCCTTTTCAAAATTGTTGCTAATTCTCTGAGAATTTCATACGATTATTTCGATCATATCTACTCCCCTCCCCCAACTCCTCCGAGAGGAAACCCCCCTCCTGACTCACCCAATCTCTCTCTCAGAGCCAGCTACTCCTGGGAGTGGAAAACTGCCCTTTAGGATGGTCAATAAAACAGAGATCACTCTATTAAAGCAGCTATCAAATGCCAATGGCGCCTCAGCTAGGGAGCCTTGTGCCCTCCTCACCTCCGTGCTGTTTACCCATTTTTCTTTACTGAATGTTTATTCACTAGGAAGACACCAAAGCCATTAGGTGGTAAAGGAGTATAGTATCTCAGGAAGGGGTCAGAGGTGGCCAATGGTCTCAGAACTGATCTCAGGATTATCACAGCACTTGCCCTTTTCTTTCCCCTATCAGGTGCTGGCCACAGAGCTGACCTTTAGACACAGTTGATTGGTTTATAATGTGCTTATCTTCTGCTCACTTAACCTGGTTGGTTAAACACACTCGCCTTCCATCGTCTCCCCGGGCATCCTGTGATGTTCTTTTTTATGGCTAGCTCATTCTGTCTTGTTTCTACTTTGAGCTCCTATGGCCGTGTTCTTTCAGGAGGTCAAAGTCTAGTTTGAGCCAGTTCTTGTTTGGTCTGTTCCACGTTACTTAGGGCCAAGTTCATGCACATATGTTTCCCTTTTCCTGACTGCTTGTTCTATAGATTGTTTGCTGTGGTCCAGAACACTGCCCTCCTTAACTGGCCATGGTATGGTGCCAAACATTACCAGGGGATTATAATATTTAGCTAAAATGTGATGCAGCCAAGTTTCATGACGTTTTCTCCATCCAAGAAATGGGGAGTGAGCCTAGGAGAGCTTATATACTTGACTGTGCTCTTAAAATCAGCATGTCTGTTATTCGGAGACACGGCCCCTTCCTGCGTCCTGGCACTGCTGTTTTTATGTGGGTGTGGGCTACATAGGTCCACTGGCAGACCCCCCCCATCAGGCCTTGAAGGGAAGATTTGACAGGAAGAGAAAAGGAATGAATTACAGATTTAAAAAAAAAAAAGGAAAGAAAGGCAGCAGGAACCATCGTAGACCCACTTGGCTGCTTTTACTGTTCACACTCTCTCCTGTGGGGGTTTTAAAAATCAAATTTAGAGAAGAATTACAAACGCAGTGCGGTCGCTTGACTGAGGAGGCCCCAAAGGCTCCTGTGCTTGAGTGCTTAGACCCAGAAGGAAGGATTGGAAGGTGCAGCTTTGTAGGGTCACGTGTGTCACTGGGGCCTAACGTCCACCCCGGTCCTAGTCAGCTCTCTCTGCCTCACCCTTGTGCATCAGAGTAAGCCCTCAACCACTCCTCCAGTGCCATGCCTGCCTGCCTGCCTGCCGCCATATTCCCTCCAGCCTGATGGCCATGGATGCTAACCCTCTGGAACCATAAAGCCCAGATTAAACCTTTCTTTTATAATGCTGCCTCGGTCACGGTGTCTTGTGACAGCAATAGAACAGTAGCAAAGACAGAATGGTTGTTTAATGAAGTTGCTATAGGAAACCCTGTTTTACATATGGAAATGTTAGGTTCTTTGGGGCACCAGTACATGACATAGATATGTATGAAATACCTTATGATGGATTTAAACATTGGCATTTTTCCTGTCTCCTTTCAGCTGTCCTACCATGAGCCAGCTGCAGACAGCCCAGGGAGTGACCACATGGCAGGTTTTGGTCTAATTCCTTTATTTTTTAAATTATTATTTCTCATTTATATGGATGTTTTGCCTGCATGTATGGCTGTGCACCAGGCATGTGCTTGGTGGTGTCCTCAGAGGCTAGAAAAAGGCATCAGACCTTCTAGAACTGATGTTATAGGTAGTTGTGAGGTGCCATATGGGTGCTGGGCCCAGAACTCAGGTCCTCTGCAAGAAGAGCAAGTGCTCTGAGCCATGTCTCCAGCCCGAGGCCTGATTCCTAGTGCAAATGTCAGGTGTTCCTGCATCTCAGTGAGTCCTTTCTCATGTGGAAACAGGAAGGAAACCCTGTCCTCCCGCTGCAGCTGGAGCACTTTGTCCCTCTGGTGCTACTGGCTCCGGCATTTCTAGAAAAGCCCACCCAGGTCTCAGATGAGTGACATTCCTCTCCATGTCTGGCTCCTCCTTCTTACGTCCTCATGGTAGGTCCAGGGATGACAAGATAAAGCTGCTGCACAAGGCTGAGGGGTGGTGGGTGGGGGGTAAGAGGTGAGGGGTGAGGGGTGAGGGGTGGTGGGTGAGGGGTGAGAGGTGAGAGGTGAGGGGTGGGGGTAAGAGGTGAGGGGTGAGGGGTGGTGGGTGAGGGGTGAGAGGTGAGGGGTGAGGGGTGGTGTGTGAGGGGTGAGAGGTGAGGGGTGAGGGGTGGTGGGTGAGGGGTGAGGGGTGGTGGGTGAGGGGTGGTGGGTGTGGGGTGGTGGGCACAGGGAGAGAGGATGTGCCGACCCAGGTTGAGGCGTCCCTCACTGTGAGCGACAATGGGGTGTTCAGGAAGCGGGGTGCACTGGGCTTGCGTGGAGCCTCTTGTCAGGGGGAAGCCCTCTGGTGTGGCTTTCATCATCCTTGTGATTTTCCAGCTTGCCGCCATGGTTTTGGTCTGGAAGGAAAGACAGAAGAGGAGGAGATTACAGAGTGCCGAGGATGAAGAGAGAAAGCGGTGCCCAGGGGCGTCCGGCTGTGTGTGGGACGGAGATGAAGTACCAACCATCCCCGCTGTGGGAAAAGGCCGCGCAGTGGCCAACCCAGATACCTTTGGGGATCTAGGTAGCAACAGAAGAGGCAACGCTGTGACCAGTAAGTAATTAAACTACGAGTAAGGACTAGACTTCTGCCCTGAAAAATGCTCTTTAAATTCGGCTTTGCCAATATAGAAGCAGTCCAGAAAGAGCGTGGGGGTTTCCCCTCTTTCTGTCCCTATGGTGGCAGGGCACCCTTGCTGTCTTACAGGCTCTTCCTCCTTCTCAGTGCAAAGGAAGACGTTGTACCAGTCAATTCCCTCCCCCACCCCATCTGACACCGAGGTTTGGTTCGCTGTCGTCAACGCTCTGCTAAATCTCCTGTTCACTTCTTCGGGAGAGGGCGTCCTCCACCCAAGAGAGCTAAAGAAGACCAAGTGATTGACACAGCAGTGGACGCGCTGTGAGTCAGTCACCCGCACTCGTGGCCTGGGGCGAGAGGACAGGGCCTAAGGGGGAACACAGGGTGGCACTCGGGGGCTGAGGGGCCTTCTGAAGAGCTCCAGAAGGCCGCTCTGTGGTGCCCTCTAGTCTCCAAGAAGGTAAGTGACTGAGTGATCTGCAGGCTGACAGAGATGGAACCCTGGAAGGTGGGGGCCAGGAAGTGTTTAGTTCACTCGACTGAAAAAAATTAGAAGATTGGAGTCTTCCTGCTTGGCAGTGGGGGCGGGTGGTGGCCCAGAGCTCGGGGTCTTGGTCAGGTAGGACAGGAAGCTTGAGGCTGCACAGCCCCCCTGGGACTGGAGTCACAGGCGGTTGAGAGCTGCGTTGTGGGTGCCGGGAATCGAATCTGGGTCCTTGGCGAGAGCAGCCAGCCTTGTCAACTCCGTCTCCCAGCCCCAAGCAGTTAGCACACATAGTGGGAGGCTCCGCTCTGGCACTTTCTTACACAGATGGCACTACTCTTTCTTCTTCCCCCCTGCCCTTCTGTGCCTCCTCTCCCAACTTCTTTTTTAAAACAAAATATTTATTTTCGTTATTTTCCGTATAAGAATGTTTTGCCTGTGTGTGTGTCTGTGAACCACCACGGCATGTTTGTGCCTGCCGAGGCGGCCAGAGGAAGGTGTCAGTCCCTGGAACTGGAGTCACCGATGGTCGTGAGCCTCCATGTGTGCGGGAACTGAGCTCAGGTCCTCTGCAAGTGCTCAACACCCGCGCCATCTCTCTAACAGTCTCCTAACCATTTCTGGTTCCTTTTCTCCTCCTATGCTGAGGTATCATGGCATCTTTTACTTCACCATGAGACCAGGTGAGGCTTGAGATGTCACCAAGATCACAACCATCAGAGTAGAACAAGTCCAGATCCAACGGAACCTCCTATTTCAAGCACTGAGCTATCTCTCAAGGCCCAGGGCTAGTGTCCTTTAAACCCAATGCTGTGAGCTCTAAGCTCATGTCACTGGTCACTGCGCTTTGATGGCAGGACCGTAAACCAAGGAAGGGCTCCCCAGTCCCTGAACTAGTCCAGCCTGTCTGCCCACTTACCTTTCCTACTGTGTTTCACCTTGATCAGGTCAGCGGCCATGGCAAGAGGCAGCAGCAAGACAGGCAGGCTCATCCATAACAAAGCTATCTTGGAGTCTGAAACGCAAATCCCAGTCGTCATGAGACTAGGAAAATGTCAAGGTGGCTTTTCTCATGGGAGCAGCCTGAGAGCGGGGTCTCTCCAGGAACCTGTTGGTTCAGTCTCCCTGCTGCCCCAGAAGCCAAGGGAAGCAGGTAAACTTAGGTCTGGCTTTGATGCCCCACCCCATCCCTTCTCTTTTTCTAAGTACATCACTACATCACAGATTCACTGTGGAACTATCTTGTTAAAACACAAGGCCTCCCAGGCTATACCTACAAGGCTTGTGAAGAAATTAATTTCTACTGAAGAATAAAATCCACAACAAGGGGAAAGAAAGGTGTTATAATTGTTTTCACAGCGGGGGGGGGGAGTTTGTAGATAGAGGGAAATAGAATACACACAGAGAGAGAAGAGAGAGAGAGAGAGAGAGGAGAGAGAAAGGAACAAGAAGCTCAGAGGAATGTTGTCCTTAGGTGACCTGAAGTCAAACTTTGCAGGAGATGCAGATTTAATTTTAAAAGATTTCCTAAAAAAAATACCCTACCAGAGAGAAGAAGATAAAATATGAAAAGAAGAGTAATAAAGAAAAGAGAAAGAAGAGAAAGGATGAGGAAAATTAGAGGAGGAGGAAGAAGAGGAGGAAGAGAAGGAGGAAGAGTGGAAGGAGAAGAATCAGGGAGGAGACGGAGAGAGGGAGCAGCAGGCACAGGCTCAGTGTGGGATGAGGAGGCAGGAGGACAGAAGTCCCAGGCCAGCCTGGACACCTGAAACCTCTCAAAGAAAAAACATAGAGCCCAACCCATTTGACACTTAGCTCCCAAGCTGGGGGAAGGAGTGCAGTCACCAGTCACCGACCTGAGAGAGGAAACCGTGCCACTTTCTCCTCGCCCAGAGGGAGGCTGACTGAGCAGGTCACATTCACCACGGAGCTGTTGGTGACCAGCAGGAGAGTGTCCACCTGGAACAGCTCCTGGCTGCCTTGACGGAAGACCTCGGAGAGCGAGGGCACGGTCCTTCCCTCTCTGTCCCGCCACTGCACGTGGGGCCTTGGGAACCACCCTTCGGATGTGCACCTCAGCTGCACGCCTCCATCCTTCAGGGCCTCCTGCGTGTTCCGTGGGGTGGAGCCCACCGCTGGGGACAGAGACCGAGGAGGAGGAGATGGAGCCTCCGAGCGTGTGTGTGTGTGTGTGTGTGTGTGTGTGTGTGTGGTCTCCCAGAGGGAGGAAGAGGTGACAGAGGACTGGGAAGGACAGAGCTCCAATGGTCCCCCCTGGGAGATGGGACTGGCTACCGGGTTTCTTGTTCTGCTTTTCTATTTTTCTGTCCCAAAGTCTTCCAGGATAGATTAGGAAATAATAAGGTGCATCTTCAAATCTACTTTTTCTTCTTCTTCGTCTTCTTTTTTTTAACCTCAATTCCCTACCTTTTTCCTCCTGACCCTGACAACAAAGTGACCCTGAGACACAAGCCCAGCCTGGAGATGCTGGGTAAGAGAGGTCACCCAAGGCACAGACAGAAAGCCGTGTGAAGGAGGGCCTCTCGGCAAGAGAAGCACGATGATTTCCAAGATTTGGGCCTGTGTCTCACCAACGTTTGCTGACCTTGCAGCTGTCACTCTTTATGGATCCTGTGCATGTGGTACATGTGGCTGAGTCTTCGAATCAGGACACTTCCCGGAAACTACACACTTCCCAGAACCTTAGGAGCTCTGCAGAATGATGTGTTTCGCATAAAACTGTGGGGACTGTTCTTAGATTGGTCACTCTATGGAGGTGCTTGGGAGCCCCATCTTTCTGACTGTGCTACACTTAAAAAGTTAAGCCCCAGGAAATGCCTGGCCCACTGCCACCAGCTCACTGTGGGGAAGCTTGAGGCCCCAAGGGAGACCCTGCTACTATTGTTTCGCTAAATGGGCAGAGTATCAACCTGCCCTCCAGATTCTTTCTCTTTGTACCCATAGATTCGAGCACAGTTCTCAGACCTCATCAGAAAACTTTCTCTGTGCAGGAGACGGTGGTTAAGACAGAAACTCACAACTGGCCGGAGTGCAGAGAGTAAGTGTCAGTGCGGTGCCCAGCCACACCCGGGACATCTGTGTCATTCCCCCCCCTCCCCGCAGACACAGCTAAACAATCTGGAGTGCAGCTGTTGTAAGACTCAGAGGTTGGGGGGGGGGGACGGGCACTGTACTGACAGTGTCTGAGCGTGACAGGGCTGCTGCACTCATGACCTCACATCAGCCGTGATTGTCTAAGACAGACCTGCACTCGGTCCAGCCAGCCAACGGTCCAGCGTGGAAGTGGGAAGCACTCGTGGGCCCCCTCCTAGCTAAGGAGCTCTGGACAGTTGATAAATTCAGGACACAGGGTGTGGCTCCTGGCAGGTCACCCAAGCTCTGTGCCCTCGAGTATACAGACAGCAGAAACAGGAGATAGTGGGTTATTAAATTTTGAAAAAGAGGACAGGAAGTTGGGGTTAAGAAAATGAGGGTGGATCTTGGAGAAGTTAAGTGGGCAAAGTTGGGGAGGTGAATATTATCAGAATAGATGGCTTGGAATTCTCAGAGAATTAGTAAAAAAATAAAAAATAAAAACCTCAAGTTAGTGTACCTGAAGTTGTGATCTTGAAGTGTCTATGGCCGTTGCTGAACTCAAAGTTCAATATGAACTTGAAAATGAATGAGCATGCAGAATGCTTTGGTGTCAAAGAAGTCTCCCAGGAGCCGGGATGCCACAGGGTTAGGAGGCCGGAGAAGCCAAAAGATCTACCTGGAACCCTTACCCATCACCTGCACAGGCACGCGGGCCCCCTGGTAGACGCCATCTTTTCCAAAGAGGCACCGGTACTGCCCGTCATCAGAAGTTCGGGCGTCATGGATCCGCAGGGTCAGTTTTCCCTCGTGGGCGGCCTCGGTCACCACGGAAGTCCGCCCTCTGTACTCCGCCATCTGCTCTCCGGCCACGCGGGCCCCATCTTCATACACATGGACTGCAGGGTAATAGTGGGAGCGGAGCCACCTCACCTCCATGCCCCGGGCATCAGTTTGAGGGGACAGGTGACAAGCTAATTCTATGCTGTCTCCGACTCTGACAACAGTGGGCTGGGAAGGTCCGATTACCCTCGAGGAAGCTGTTAAATACACCAATGGGCAGGGTATGAGCCAGCATGGACTTCCTGTGGGGTTCTTTAAACAGCCATCCTTGTTTAAAGAAGAGCCTTGCCAGTGTGAAGAAAACACTCATCAGAGGCCAGGCTACACGCTGCTAAACCCTCAGAATAAAAGGGGTGTGCCATCGCTTCAAATCTGGCTGGCTTTATGCACTTAGTCTGTCTGTGCCTTAGAGGTTTCAACTATAAAATTCATCTCTTAAGATTGCTGTGGGATTGAGCAAAGGCTCTTTGGTGGCCATGCAGTGTGAGCAGAGGTTAGGCTCTGAGATGCGAGGGCGCGGGAGCCCATATCACCCTCTGATCGTGGGCTAAAAATGAGAGCCAGATGGGTGTATAGTAACAGAAACCGAAAAGCCCTTCCTCTGATGAGTCCCTGAAGAAGGCTGTGGAGGTCTGTGCCTCGCCATTTCCTTCCCAGGCCGCCCTAACCAGCACTGGAGAGAGCCCTGCTCCCTTCCTCAGGGGTCACGAGGTATCTGGTTGCTTTCCATGCTCTGCCCTCCTGCAGGGCTGGGCGAAGGTCCCACTCACCCAGCTCTGTCTGCAGTTTCTCTGGAGAAAGAAGAAAAACATTTTAAGGGATTTTTGTCTAAAGGAAAGGAAAGAAACTTTCCAGAAATAACCATAAGCTTCATGTTTATCCAAGAACTCAATTTACTTAAAAAGTCTGAAAAGAAGAAAAACAATTCTTCTGGACCATCTGGTGAGTCAGATCTTACTTTTTTCACAGCAAACCTGTCAATTCTATCACCATCAATTTGGTTTGTTTCTGCTAATATTAAACACTAGTAAAAATATATGTTATTTATATAAATGAAGGCTAAGTATGAAATATATGGCCACAAACAACCATCACTTTTAATTCCAAACTGGGCCTGCACAACACTGATTTAGCATTAATACAACTCACTTTTAACTCTTCAATAAATCAGCAACACATCCAAACATGGTGTCCTAAAAGTCTCAGTTCAAGTTAGGGTTTTAAAGACAATACCCCGTCACGTAAGTAGCAAAATCTACTGGGCACAGTGGTTCACACCTACAGCCAAGAGGGCTGCTGGGGTATAGAGTGGGACTGTCTCAAAAGAAATACAAATGTCTGTTTCCGATAGATAATAGACAGGCGATAAAGAGAGAGAGAGAGAGAGATGACACTTGATGAACAGGTAGATGATAGATATTTAGAAAGACAGGTGATTGATAGTTGATATATTATAGATAAATGATAGATCAAAAATAGGTGATTAGAGAGGGGATGATTGAAAGGTATGTAAGAGCTGTATGGTGGATTAGGCGCATGAATGGTAGATAATGATGGCTAATTAGTAAGTGGTTGATGGCTGAGAGCCGGCAGGTAGATGGTTGGCGGGCGGGTGGTGGTGACACTAGCTGGCAGGTAGATCTTTATCACTGAGCCTGAGGATTCTCTGGGCTCCGAGAGTCTCCCGTGCTGCTCTCCGTCCCCGCTCCAACTTCTAACACTCAGGGAGCAGACCTGTCACTACCGCAGTGTGTGCTTTGAGTGTTGCTTCTGTTGCTATTTATTGACAAGACTATAATTAAGAAGCTGTCAAGGAGACCCTCCCATTCTGGCGAAGCACGTGACTGGTTCCTGGAAGGAACTGGCATACCACAGGACAATGTCTCCATTGCAGGAATATTTTCATTATGTTTCCAATGTGTTGAACATCTGTGGGGCACAATCAGCACGGTGGAGTGAAACGTAGAACTTGAAAACTACTGAAATCCTGAGAGCTGGCATCTACTAAAAACATGCCATATGCTTTTCTCATATACATGTTTATAAATGTTAACTCGTTATTTAAATATGATTAAAGAAAAAAGAGAACCGGGTGTGGTGATACACGCCTTTAATCCCAGCACTCGGGGAGGCAGAGGCAGGCAGATCTCCGTGAGTTTGAGGCCAGCCTGGTCTACAAAGCAAATCTAGAACAGCCTGTCTTAGAAAGAAGGAAAGAAAGAAAGAAAGAAAGAAAGAAAGAAAGAAAGAAAGAAAGGAAGGAAGGAAGGAAGAAAGAAAGAAAGAAGGAAAGAAGGAAGGAAAGAAAACGTATTACTGCTGAGCAGCTGAGCAGCTCGGGGCAGAGCACTGACCTGGCAGAGCGATGGCGGCCTCCTTGGCCTCTTTGAGAACACGGTTGTAGATGGAGCAGGAAATGGTCTCTTCCGAGTCATTCCTGACCACTAGTGTGTCTTCCACATAGAACAGCCCATCTTTATTTTGCACATGATTCTCAGAGAAACTCATCAGCTTTTCTCCACTGATGCTCTCCCAGGAGACCTCAGGCTCAGGGAACCAGCCCTGGGACGTGCACACCAGCTGGACCTCTCCTTCTCCCAGTCCCTCCACATGGATGCCTGGGGAAGATCCTAGAGCTGGAGAGAGAGAGGGAGGGAGGGAGGGAGGGAGGGAGGGAGGAAGAGAATTTGTTTCCCAGCCTGAAGCTTTAAACTTCAGTACCTGGCCACACTTTTCTTCAGACTCAGATAGTGAAAAGGGAGACACAGGACACGTGGCACAATTTGTTTTGTGTCTCTGGTGCTGAGATGTGCTTTAATTTCGTCGTGATGACTTCTCTTCCCTCAGCTCTGCTTTCTCCTTTCTCAATGTTCTCCGCACTAGGTGCCCCGGCTGCCATTTTGGCTTGTGTCTGGACTCTATTTTAAATGACATATTTATTCTTAAACACAAACGTCACCTCCACGGGCTATTTTCATTTGTCCCGTGGGCAGCTGCAGTTTGGGTATGCAGTAGGGTGCATGAGAAATGACTGTGCCTTACTTACCTTTTTTCTCAGTGGGGGAATCTATTTTAGACTAATTTGTGTAAATCATGAAGTGCCTTCTTTAACATTACAACAGTTCGGATCACCGGCTGAGAAAAATAGAAGAACAAGCCTCCCACCGGCACCCAGAAAAACACCCTTGACTTCATTCTAAATGTCTCAGAGTGTGGCATGGATCAGTGTCCAGTTCCAGCTGCAGCTCAGAAACACAGACTCTCACGTCCATTTTGAGCCAATTGAACATGGTAATGGGAACAGTTACAGCCGCGAGCGGCAGAAATGTGCTGTGTGGAAGTTTCTCAAACAAAACAAAACAACAAAAACAAGAGCCTAAAAGCAGAGCTGACATGCGACAGCCACTTCCCCACTTGTGGGAAAACACCCACGGAATTTAAGCCACCCTCGTTCCCAAAGCCCAAGCCCAGGTTGTGGCGTCGCCCTGGAGCACCGTTCACAGATGCCTGGAGAAAGAAAACACGCAGCAAAACAACGGTGCTCCGGGACGGTTCATCTCATGTGTGTGTGTGTGTGGGGTGCCTACACCCGCATCTCTGCACCACGTGCGTACATGGGGCCCGTGGAGGCCAGAGAAGGCGTTGGATCCCTGGAACTGGAGTTGCAGAAGGGTGTGAGCTGCCCTGTGGGTGGCGGGAGTCAAACCTGGGTCCTCTGGAAGAGCAGCAGGTGCTCTTAACGGCACCCACAATGGCGTCTCCGTCACTCCAACAAGAATTAAACTAAGTCGTTCAGGGGAAACGGATGAAGCTGGGGAGCCGCTTGCTGAGCGGAAGGAGAGGCCGGGCGGGGGACCGGAGACGACGGAGGGTGATAAACCTAATGAAGGCGTCCTGAGGGGCGCTCGAGGATCTGCCAAAGGCTGGTTAGTAGCGGAGAAGCTGCGCTGCCGGGGAGGCCAGTGTCTCCAGGAACCGTTTGCCTGGGGAAGCAGCCGGATTTCCCTTCAGCGTGTAGAACAGCTAAGACAGCGCGCACAAGACCTTTGTAGGTTCAAACCTGACCAAATCCCAGCGTACAAGGGACGGGCATGAACCCCGCCCCCAGCTGAGAAGCTGCTGGTG